CTTCACAGGACAGTCGTCCTTTGCGTGAGAGGAATCACCACAATTCATGCATTTAGCTGGCATGTAGCAATTTTTAGTTCCGTGACCTTATCCCTGGCACTTACGGCACTGAGTGAGGTTTTGGAAATTTCCTCCAGTCTTCCTGAAGTGTTCCCACTTCACTCGGACATGGAGCATAAGGCTAGCTTTTTCTAAGGCCTTAAGGTTGTTTAGTTCACTAGACTTGAAGTGAACTAAATAAAAATCATTAGAAATCCCGTTGCGCGAATCGCCAGGACGGGATTTCATTTTCATTTTGATTACTTGGAGTGGCACAACTCCAAGTAATTTTGCCAGTTCATCTTTGATCTGATCCAGGGATTCACCACTGGGCAGTCCTTTCATGACAACCTTGAACTCACGTTCAGTTTTGGTGTCGTAAGTAAAAAAAATGGTGATTCTTCTCAGTAAGATACTTGAGAAGACATTTAAATCCGTCCAAGGTTTCAGCCAATACACGGCATTCACCCCGACGTCCAATTTGTAGAGAAAACTTAACTTTCACGAAGTTCAAAAGTTCCATGCGAAGAGCATGGAAATCGGAAGTGGTTATCACAATAGGGGGAATCTTTTCCTTCTTGGCATTAAGCCGGGAAAGTTTACTAGAATGGTTCATTCTCATCATCCGTGAGCAAATCAAATTGATTACTCAAATTAATTTCTTCAGAAGGGGGGTCAAGAGTTTGCCCCTTTCTTTTGCGTTTAGGCGCCATGGCGGCAGTAAATTTTTATCCAAATCGACTTCCAAGCAGATTACTATAAGAATCTGAAGGATCAAAGAGGAATTTTTCCAATCGATATCCAAGAAGGATTACCTCGGGTAGGGTCCAAACAAGGATCAAAGAGGAATAAAGTTGAACAAGGTAGAAATTTTACAGGTTGAGCACTGAAAAGTGCTGTTTAAATTTGTTGTAGCTTTAGGTAGTAGTAACACTTCCTTCATCAAAAAGCAAATAGATCCGCACGGCAAGAGAGCACGATGCGGACTCGCTGAAATACCAATGCATGAATTTGTATATTGTGTGGCAAGCATAATGATACTCTATGCCCAGGAAAGTCGAGAAAATTTCCCACCCGAAAGATTCCCTCGACTGGACGTTAATCGAACCCGCCGCCTCCGGCTTGATAATACCGTGCCCTTACTGACTAGGCTATGAGGCCCGCCCACGGTTGCTGCTCTGTTATTGCCAGATCAACCTCATTTACACAGAGAACCAAGAGATGATGTTTGGGACTAACATTCATCCTCAATGTGTAAAAACTCGAGATCTAATATTTAACAAAATCAGAGCCAGCCGAACTAACGAAATGAATCCATGAGCATTGAGCTGGTCCACCTTTCTTGCTTAAATCAGGATGATATCCACCAAGTCCTTGACCGCTTTCTCCACCTCGTACTGATGATACTTTTCAACTGAAATAACAGGTTGCCTCTCCTTGAATACACCTTGATTCATGGTGATTCCTTTTCATCTGGGAGGATTTCCTGCCTGAATCTGTGATCTGTTTGAAATGGTCATATTTTCATATCAGATCAGATAAAGCTAATATAAAATGTCACTAAAGGAGTTTCCAGGATAAGCACTTATGGGTCGCTTCTCCGTGACTTCGACGCAAACAAAAAAACGTCGGGGGTTCCGTAGGGGATTTTTTTTTCGGAGCTCCTTCTTGACACTTTGTTTGAACTCCTTGGACCGGTGTGATGGTTGGTTTTTCATACTGTTATAAAAATATAACGAAATATATTTTCCTATTTTACTCGCCAAACAAAATTAAAGTGAAAAAAAACCGTTATATTTATGGCCAGCAGGTTTATTGAAAAAAATAAATAAATTATTCGATAAGTAGGGGAATTTACGTATTCTCGGCAACCTAAGCAGCGACCTTCTTTCTATAGCCTTTTTCTCTATGGAACGCACACATATGCAGTATTGGTTTGTTTACAATCTTTTGCTGCCAGCTGCTCTAAGAATTTCAGTCGAAAGAGTTGTCAAAAACTGTTTTGAAACGCTTTTACAAAGCTCCAATCTTTTCTAGTGAGAGCGAGTATTGTCGGCAACCAGTTTTTCTTCGGCAACCGTTCCATTTGAACTGCATGTAAATCTGCTGTTCTATTATCGGCAACTCGAACTCAGCTACAATTTGTAGTGCGTGTGTTTCATTTCAAGAAAACCCTGCTAGATTGCTTTTTCTCAGTGGTAAAAATATAGTCAAATTGAAGCTGAAAGCATAAAGAATCGTTTGCATGCATTCAGCGAAGTGTTTTCGTAAGAAAATCCAGTGAAAATAGTGTTTCAATTTGGGTTGCCGAAAATAGTCTGTCATGCCGAAGCCGTCATTTCCCCTATAAGTCAAATACTTACCCATTAACATGGTTTCGCTTTTCATTCCAATTGAAAACGATTGAAACAAGTAATAAAGTATGTTAATACCCGACGTTAACTAACGAATCGACGGAACATACAACAACAAAAAACAACACTAGCAATCGGTCACTGCGATGCAAATTATCTAAAAATATATCATACTTCAAAACAGGGTGCCTTCCATTCATTTTGACTAAAAAAATGTTTTATGAAATTATGGAATAATAAGATATTATGATGATATTTTGTATGTGTAAGTAACAAGAAAAGATTGTAAAGTTTGTGTTTGACACATAAAACCTGAAAATTTAGCTTCGACAGAGTCACAATGAGCGATTTTCTGATCGCCTCTTCGCGAAGCGTGAAGAGTGAATAGTGGGTGAGATAAATGACAAAATCGCTTATAGAGAATCTCATGTAGCAAAATTGGCTGGTATTATGAGTCAAACACAAACTTTACAATATTTCCTTTATGTTTACACAAACAAAATATTATCATAATATCTTATTGTTCCATAATTTCATAAAACGTTTTTTTAGCCAAAATGAATAGAAGGCACCCTGCTTCAAAATACTCAAGAAAATTTCAAGAGTACTCAATTACAAAGCCATGAGAGTTATTAAAAAACATGTCTAGAAATTTTCCGGAAGAAATCAAATCTAGATTGAGCTGGAATTAGGGCGTAACAGCTTTTGTAAACAATGACTTCTCCCGATGGTATGTATGGTGAGAGTAAAGGCTAGCCAGTTTATGTTTGGTACAATACATTAAATCAAACGCAACCAAACAAAGTCTATAAGAACGAACGGAATGAATGTTAACACCCATTTTTCTCAAAAACACAAGAAGAAGCGCTCCGACCAAATCCATCTTTCCATTCCATTTGAACTGAACATTTGAGTAAATCGTATTCCTAGTGTATTGTTCACATCTGTCTAGTTTCATAGTTATTCATGCAGTAGTTCCAGTCATGTCGTCAAAACAAGAAATTAACCGTGAAAAAATTGTGTGCACTTACAATCAAAATCCAGAGGCGTCCCACCGATGGATCGCTAAAAGGCTTGGAATTGCAAATACAACTGTGTCTCGTGTGATAAGAACCTTCAAGGAGCATCTGAGTGCCCAAAGGAAGGTAGTTAGTGGTCGTAAAAGTGTAAAATAGCCAAGAAAGTGGTGCAACAGTTCAAGAACCGTCCAAACATGTCAATTCGAGATGTCGCTAAAAAGTCCAAGGTGTCAGTTGGTTTTGTACAGAAAACCATGAAACGTGCTGGCTTACATATTTACAGGGAGCAAGAAGCCCCAAACTGGAATGCAAAGCAAAACTTCACTGCGAAAATGCGCGCCCGGAAACTTTACACGAAGTTGCTCACCAAATCGTGTTCCATCGTGGTGGATCACGAAACTTACGTCAAGGCCGACTTCCGTCAACTTCCTGGGCAAGAATATTTCGTTGCCGAGGCTACGTTTGATGTTCCGGAGGATGTTCTAATGAAGAAATTATCGAAATATGCAAAGAAGTTCCTGATCCGGCAGGTGATTTACGGATGTGGTGAAATAAGCACTCCCTTCATCACTTTCGGAACAATCAACGGTGCGATTTACACGGAAGAGTACGAGCGTCTCTTTCCATTCATATGGCTATATGAAATGTATATATATGGCTAAATCCTATAGTCGGTTTAATTTTCGTGAATAAATAATAAAAACATCCTATTATACATATGTGTGTGTCATTTTTATCGAATACACCCTTTATACTTGACTCATTGTTTGATTTTTTCTGCTCGATAGGCCCTAAATGGGCGATTGGGTCGAACTTTTTATCTGCCTCTGTATCATGAAAACCTCGAAGAAAGTGCAGAAAAAAAAATGTCGGTCCGGAGATTGTTCAGAATCTGATGCAAGGAAGGAAAAATAATAATAATTCAATGTTTGATTTCTGAAGAATGATTTGAGTGGCCCTTTTTTATCGAAGACACCCCTTATTATTTTACCCTATTGCTTTGCCAAAAAATTTCCGAATTCTCTTGTAACCTTCCATTACGAATAAATCACGTCAATCAAGCAGTCTAAAACGATTTTTCCCACCACTCTTGTTTGACCATAGAGCAACAATTTGCAATTGTTTACCTTTTGATCGTAAAATTTATAGTAAATTACTCCACTATGTGATTAATTGAATCAATCATAATAAAAACAAAATCGAATGAACACTTTTGCAATAACGCTCTCAAATCCGCACTAGATGCGTTAAGCTTAGTTTCATTCATTCCATAAAAATTCATAGCCTCTCCATTCGGATAGCAAAAGCTACTACAATTTGAATGAACTCGAGAAGTGATCGCAGCTCAACGATCCTCCAACGAGAGAGCGAGCAAAACAACAACTCCTCTCTTCCTCAGCAGCAACAGCATTGTGCTCGGCTGCTTTTTGCAGATATCACAGGTAGGTAACCAGAAGGCGAAAAACAGAATCAACAAATCAAACGGCTACAGCTTCAGTTGCTTTTTAAACTTCGTTGACTTCAGTTGTGCCTTAAAGCCGGTTAGTTCCTTGCTTTGTACTTGCATGTTGTTTTGTTGTTGCTGTTGTTGTTGTTAGATGATCGCGGCCAGCTCTCGCCACTTCGGTCATCGATCTGTACGATTGTTTGTCTCAAAAGAACAGCATCTCACTACCTGACGCAATCCGAACCAGGTACATGCAGCATCATCTTCGGTAGTGAAGGTTTTTTTTTTTCGATCGTCTTTCTTTTAGTTTGTTTCACGGTGCAAGAAGAATCGAAGTGAGCAATTAGATAGTGAACAGTTGCACTTGTTGGAACGTAGAGCAAGGTGAACCGATTTCGTGTGAATGTGTGAAGGAAATTGAATCCAGTTTTGTTGAACCGAACTGCCATGGATCGGTGATTGTAGCGCAACGAAGGCTGGCTCAGTTCTCCGGTTTAAGTGAGACGTTGTGTGCTCAAGAGCAATCCGATCTAGATCAGTTGGAGAGGTATCGAGATCAAGGAGTTCAAGCGAAAAGTGTTCATTACAGCCGACTACGAGATTGCATTAATTCATAGAAATCATTGGAGATATCCGAATCTAGTGATCGCGTGTTAGATTGAGAGGGCGGAAACCATGGAAGTTGCCTGGCGGTTTAGAATTATTTTTGCAATGGCTTTTGCTGTCATCATATTCGGCGATCTGCTCGGCTATGGAGGGGCAAAGAAAGATCCGAAAGATAAGTCACTGCTATCGGGGCTGTCGACCGGTTTCGGAAGTGCAAGTGCTCACATGGAAGCCACAGCCAGATCCAGTCGGGAGAATGGTAAGTGAAGGGAAGCTGAAGGTCACAAAATGAAAGAAGATAGACATCGGAAGATTTAGTTGGGATTGGAAAGATTGCACTGAAAGTAGTCAGTGTTCGTTACTGGAAGGTCATTTTCTGTGGAAGAAAAACCTATACTTTAATAGTAAAATTCCTTTGTGTCTGTATGCTTGAGTATAAAAAATTGTATTACCAGATATTAATTTAGGAAGTGTATGAAGCAAGACCATGCTGGGCTGGGTTTGATTCCCGGTCTGGTTTAGGAATTTTTCGGTTTGGAAAATTTCTCGACTTTCCTGGGCATAGAAGTATGATTGGACTTGCCACACAAATATACTAATGCAAAAATGGTACAGGCATCGAAAGCTCTTAATTAACAACTGTGGAAGTGCATCTAGAACACCATGTTGAGAGCACGCAATAAGCTGATATGCGATAAGCAATAACCTTTAAATGCGAATAAGCAGAAGAAAAAGTAATTTATTTAAGAAATTATTTGATTTAAAGTAAAATAATCTGCAATCAATGGTCCAACAGTGATGCACTGATACACGATTATATATTTATACTCTCAAGTATTACATAAATATATGATCAAAACTATGGCCTTCCGGTTTTGATGATTTCTGGTTTTATTATCTTTCCGTATCTTATTTTGTAATCGGTATCTTAAAATCATATTGTCACAATAATTCAAGGTTTATTACCTTGTGAACAATAAAAAAAATAGATAAATTAAAAATAGTAATTATTATTTGAGTTGATTTTGTATTTTTGAACATGATTGGAGCTCGGTTTGAATTGGAACCCGTTTTTCAACATATGTATGGAATGGGCAAAAGTAATAAAAGTAAAATAGAGTAAATGTTGGCTTCGGTATTACCTTAACCTTTTATCATCAGGGGGTAAACTAAGTCCTAGAGCACTCAAATTTGGCCAATAGATGCTCTCAAACACAATGTATCCACATGCCAAAATTAAGCTCTAACGAACTTTGTTTACCCCCAGACGATAATAGAATAAGGATTCGCTGAAACCGTCATTTACTCTATCTCTTAAAATTTATTAAAAAAAAACAAACGGAATTTGTGGGGACGGTCTCACAGTGGAGCCGTTCTAAAAGAAAGACGAAAAATTTTCTTCTCACCTTTTTTGACGTTTAAGGTTAGATGTGTTCTAAAAAGTTGCTTTAAATGTAATTCCACAGTGATTAAAATAGTCACCAGATTTTTTATAAGGATGGTATTACTCATACAAATACTAACTTTTTTTATTTTTTTGCTACAATCGGTTCATGTTTTGGACAAAGTTGTAAGACTATTACTTTTAAGAAATTGTTCTTAACATACCAAAATTCTATATAATGGCGATTTATAAAGTAGCGTTATAGAAGATTTACGCAGTGATTCCCGATTTAATGTTGTATTCGATTATGCATAACTATGAGCAATTTATAAACGTTAAGAATTCACAAAAAACACACATTTTTGAAAAAAAAAATAAACAGTAAATTTAGACTTATTTTACATTGAATTTACTGTACATCACATTGGTGTCATCAAAAATAGTTGATGTCTTCATAAAAGATATTTATTTTGATGTTATCTAAAACATTCTAGAACATATTGGATAGATCAAATATGAATAAAATACCAAATAACTCAAACAACTAACTTTAAGGCATTCCTAGGAGAAAACCAATTATACCGCATGCGTGATAATGTTCGCACCCTTGAGCAATGTCAAAATTAAAAAAAATTCTCAAAAATTTCGCTTTCGAGTTTTTTTTTTTATTTATTCAAAGGGGGGATGTTTCTCAGTTTCTTAAACTATGTTAATCATCGATCGAGTTTCCACTTGCTGCAATTACGGCAGGTTCTAATAATGTAGTCTGGATCCATTTCTCTCCAGGTACAGGTCAATGTTTGTCTGAGGCTTGCTGTACTCGGGTGGCGTTTAGAACAGGCCTTGGCCTTCATGACGCGCCATATTGAGTAATCCAGTGGATTAGGATCGAGGCTGGATGGCAGCCACATATCCTTTGCCCAGAACGGAAGATGTTCATGCAACCACTTCTGAGTGCGGTTCGTGGTGTGGCACGGAGCCCCGTACTGTGCTTTGATCCACGGAAGAACATACTTACTTAAAATCGCGATGTAGACCTCCTTGTTGACCTTGTCACCTTCTGGAATGAACACCGGGTCCATTTTTTTTGCCATCGGAAGCTACCAATCCAAACACCATAACGCTAGCAGGATGCTTGGTCAGATACGATACACGTTCTTGTGCTCGTCGGGCACGTCTTTTACCGGAAGAGAACTAATATACCGGCCGGTTCTGGAATTTGATACGGGATCGACGGTAAACATGCTCTCGTCGGTGAACAGGATTACCGGATTTTTTTTCGCTAAAGGAAGTTCAAGATTTTCTTGCATCGTTCGACTTGTAGCTCCCGGATGCGGTTGGTAATCATGTGAGTTTTTTTTCCGTGCCCTCGACTTCGCCCCGCAATCTTCCTTTACGATCTTCCGTGCCGAAGTCACTGATCCCATGTTCCTTTGCCATTTTCCTTATTGAACGCACTGGATTCACCCGATTTGATAGCAGCGATAACTCTCGGAACCCGAGCTGACCGAGTTGTCCTTTCTTTTCTCGGTCTAAAACCCTTTTGACGGTCCACCGGGACACTCCCACGGCGATTGAAATGTCTTTTTGCGACATTTGCGCGTGTCACAAATCACGAATACGCTGCCACTTCGTCATGGTGCAACTGTCCAACTAAGTAAATCATTTTCTTTTATACACAGCCTACTACGGTATGAGCTATAGGTTACGTGCATGCAAAGAAAACCAAGGCATTGTATGAACAGGTGAAACGGGAACCTTATTTGTACGATGACGCCAACATTATCACGCATACGGTATTTATTTGGGGCTAGGTTATAGAAATTTGGAGTCTTCTGCAAAATTTCTTTAAATTAATAGTTCGACAACTTTGTTGGGGAAACTATGAGAACGGAGTCGAGTGGCAACATTAATGAGACATGGCTGCATTTTCTCGACCTAGGTGAACAGAAAGCACCTGATGTAATTCTTATCGTCATGTTAGCTACATCGCTCAATCTCGAATTTTCATGGAATTTCACTTTTGGTTACTTTGAAATTCTCATTGGAGTTGCATTGGAATGCTCCATGGAATTCCGCTCAGGTTCTCTTAAGAATTTCCTTGAAAATCTTCTCATAATTCCTATGGAATACACCTTAAATTTAATTTGATTGTATCCTTAATAACTTCTATCGAGTTCTCATCATGATTCTCTCGAAATTATAGCCAGAACTCTCTTGGGATTCTATTCGGATTTCTTTAAAAAATCTCCTTAAAATTCACCCGCAACCTTCCTCACAATTTCTAGTCAATATTCCTAAACATTCATCTAGTCTTCTGCTCTTCTCCCGTGGGATCATGCTTCGATCTCCCGTTGAATTTCTTCTGCGAATTCAATTGAAATGCTCTCAGAATTCAGTTGGAATTATTCTCACATTTCTAGTGAGTGAATTTTCAAATAGTCGTGTTTGCGTTTGTAAACAAATATACAAACGACAATTTGATGAAACTCTCAGCTCACATACACAAGCTAACATCATCATCAGGTAACGTAAAGTTTCCCTCAACATTATGATGGAGTAAGTTTGTGTGAACGAGCTAAGAGTTGCAATAAATTGACGTTTCAATCTTTGTTGATAAAACCAGATACGGGTATTAGAAAATCCACTCTTCATTGGCTTAGTAATTATGCTAACACATGATGTTCTTGTCACAACTTCCTTGGAAATCTCCTTAAAGGAATCAAAAGGCCCTCAGAATTATTTTGGAAGCATTCCATAGATTTCACTGGAAGTTCTCCTCAAAACTTAAATGAAATTCCATGCCGAACTCACTTAGAATACCATTTAGAATTGCCTTTAAGTTCGCCTCAAAAATTCTTCAGAAAACCTCAAGATAATGCCATGAAATTCCAGAATCATTAATATTTTCTTCAAGCCCATGAATTTCTTAAATCCATTAGTAGCCATTCTATAGCAAAGTGATATAATGGTTCTCAGAATTTCGTAAACATCCCAAGTAACAATTCAGTAACCATTTAGCATCCACTCTGATTTATGATGGTTTTATAACGGCAATGACCAATCCATTTAGTTTGAATATAGCATTTTAAAGTGTAAAACATTCCTGCTTAGTAATTCAGCTTTTTGCTGCTTTAAAAACCTTTTATAGTCTGGCAAGAAAGTCATAAACTGTCTTGTTTTGAAAGTAAATTTAAAACAGTTATCAATCCCCCTTAAAACTGTTTTGTAATTCAAGCATAAACGTCATTAGCAATTGTTTATTAATGTCATGATAAAATACTTTATAAAAGTGTTCTATCATTATAGAAGCAACCATAAAACAATAAGGTTTTGCACTAGAGAAAAAAACATATATTGTTGCTTTTTAGCCTTTTTAAAAAGCATCATTAACTCCCCAATTACTTTGTTTACAAATTGAGCTTAAAAGATGGTTCCTCATAGTTAATACAAGCCAAATTTATGACAAGGAAATCTCGAACGATAGACGAAGTAGGATGAAAAAATCAAGTCAATTTCAGATAAATTTACTTCTTTAGAAGAACCAGCACACCACCAACGACTGACCATCTGTCGGAGAAGAGTAAAGTGTGCGTGGCCCTCGAACTCATAAAACATTGTCTAAAGTTGAAAAATATACCAGCCTTCTCCAGATCTTGCGATGACAATCGAAATAACAACCGACAGCAAACCACTGATACAGTTAGTTAGCGGAGATCAGCTGGTTTCCGTTCCAAAGCAGCGATTTTATTCGGCGAAAGACTCTTCGAAAATTTCATTCAACCGTACATCTCTGCATTATTGGATGGCGCACTTCTGTAACCATCTGGAAGAAGGGGATCTTTTTCGGGAACGATTGCGCTTCCAGCTGTTCG